TCATTTGTCGAATTTGACGTACTGTCCAATTTTTTGGGTTTGTGGTGTCCAAGGCTCGCAAATTCGATGTTCTCGACGTTGATGCGTTGATTCCGTCGTTAGTTGTCCTTGATGTATTGGGTGATGAAATCATCCGGCCACGGCCTCTGGAATTTCTTCCCCGTCTCCGAAGAGAGTTTTCATCTCTGACTGGACTTGGTATTGGCGAAGGAGCACGGCGTTTCCGGCTTCGACTCCTGCCTCTATCAGTGGTAGAACTTTCCATTTCAGAAGCGAAAGTATATAAAATACAAGAAGTCAAATAGACTGCTTCAAGCACGTGAACAGCTTGAAGAAACTGTTGACGTAGCAACATAAAGACGCTCATGAATATGCAAATAGTTGTGTCAATAAATATCGTCTAATATAAACCTTAGACTCCCATTTATTATCTAAATTTGTTTTATAATGAAAAAATAGCCAGTATTTTCACCAGAGTAGGCGGTCGTTTTGACCGGCTACCAGCTTATATCTACATCACTGCTGCATACAAATTATTAACTTTAATAAACCTTTACTTTTACAATTTTCTAGTCATGGAACAAAAACAGTTAGGGCAAGTCCCAATAATGACACAAGATTGACAGAATCCAAATTAATTGTAAATCCTCCCATATCATAAAGGGTAAAGACACTGTACCCTTGGTGGGTGCCACAAAGTAAATTGATAGGCAAGACTACAGCAATGTGTGTCGCGAAGGGAAAGTTCAAACTACCAGTCACAATTTAATCACTAATGAATACTACTTTGGGGGAACCTTGGTTAATGTCCATAGATGATTGTGTTCAATCTGGTTGACAATAATGATAAGTCCTATCATGTAGTGATAATGATAGACAATTATATACACATGTACTTGTACCTGAAATAGTTTGTATAATATCCTGCCTTGTCCAGCCACCATTTCAAGCAACATATCAAATTGGTTACCCTCGGTGGTTTCACTATACGGTGCACAAAGGGCAAAGGTCAAGAAATCCAGCAATGCCGAGATAACCAATGCTCCTGTACCTCTAGCCTGTAAAGAAAAAACAACAAATACGATTTATTAAAATTATTTTTTGAATATTCAGCGTCGTTACCCAGGAATAACTTTAACATCAAATGCTTACAGTACTATCATTATATTTCCCACCAAGATGTTGAGTCAAAGCTAGGCAGAATTTGGTATGTCAAAATGAAACACTGCTTTTCTAAAATCTTTTTGTTCAATTTGTGACAAAATACGACTTGGGACAGAAAGTGGTGTCATTTATGATGAAGATACACAATATATACTTTTCCCTTCCTCATCGAGACACAACAGAAATTGCTAATAAGTATGTCATTAACTGAGCCTTCTGTAAGGCATATAAGTTTGGCCAGCATGGTTGATGCATTAATCTGTCATAAATCTTGTTATAAGAGGAGAGTTGACATATCATATTGCAATTCATAGGACAAAACTTCACAAGGAGACAGTGTTTGGTTTCTATGACGAAATGCATAATACATACATCACTTATTAGTGTCATTACAGAAAATTAAACCAACTAAGTAAATACGCTGAAAGGGAAAAAAAAATATGCAAATTACATAATTAATATGCATGAATTAGAATCAAAATCTAATCAGGTCTGGATTTATAACAAAGTATCTGTGAACCAAATTGCATTCCAATCCATTCAGTAATTCTTGAGTTAATAGTGAATACAGTTTTAACACAGACATTGGTATGACATTAACCTCCCTTTGCTTTGCACACAAGATAAAAAAAAATAATAAATATTAATTTGATGAATTACTTACCACATGGACATTAAATAAGTCCAATAAACTTTCAAGAAATTTCTTTGATGACAATAAGGATGATTTATTGAGTTGTTCTTGCCTTAGTTCATAATCATCGTGCATTGGCTGTAGTGAATAGAATAAAATAAATTTCAATACAGTAGAAAACTTTATTTTCGCTTGAAATTAATTTTTGCTTTTTTGCTTAAGAAATGGAGGAATCCAGCGAATATACCTGTTTTCCTATATTTTACATTCAACTCAACAAGTGAAATAAAATTTCATACAAAACACAACAAAAAGTCTTTTCAGCGAAAATTTAATCCAGCTTAAATAAAATATTTTACAGTATTTTGGCAAATTAGTGTACCACATTATCTGTACATTGTACAGTGCAAAAACATAGCTACTATCAAATCATATGAAGGGCTCCCTCACAAAGTAAATAGTTTTTTATATCAGTTTTATGTCATTGAATATTTACCTGCATAAGAGCACATAACATATCTACAGCAGCATGAGTAACACCGTCATCTTGTCGTTGTAATGCCTTTACAACTTTCAAACCAACCTTCTCACGGAACCTAGAGAAAAATGGTGAACTTCATCATATCAACATACAAAAAAATATACTGTGGAATACTTTATTTTCGCTGGAATTAATTTTCACTGAAAAGGCTTTTTGGGCGTTTTGTGTGGAATTTATTTTCACTGATTTTTGATGAGTTTAATGTGAAGTATAGGAAAAAAAGTATATTCGCTGGATTTTATTTTTACGGAAACATCCCTTCAGCGAAAATAGCGAAAATAAATTCCAAGCGAAAATAGAGTATTCAACAGTATTTGCAGACAGTCAACTCGTAGTTGCATAAACAGCAGTATACATAATTATGTTATTAAACATCTGTCACCGTCACGCCATACGTTACATTGCGCCATAATTTTGCGGTATTTTACGGGGTATTTTCATCCTACCATGTAAGGAAATGCAAATTCCAAATATGGAATGATTAGGCACGTAAGCGTCCTCTAATAATAAAAACAAACATGACTGCCATCAGGGTTTGACCGGACTCAATACAAAGAAGTTTGCTGATTCTGTTCTAAACTTTTTGGATTCCGGTGTTTCCATGATGTACAGTATCCTTGGAAGGAAATGATGTATACCACAAAGTATGCACTCAGACGGACTCAGACCCGCTGCGCGTCGATCGATACTTCAGCAGCACCGTCTTCGTGTATACTTTGCGGTATTCTCGTAATAACCTTATATTATTAATGGCTATTCCTCCAGAGAACATTTATTGCATTAAAGCATGTCTTACTTTAGTAACTTAGTGAAGGCTTGGAATCCTGCTTTAGATGCTACCAGTCTTCTTAGTGCATGGAATTGACTTTCTAATTCTCGTGATGATATCGATTTCTGATCACCTGGTAGAAGTAAAAAAAATGTTTACATAACTGACAACAATGTGGTGTGCTTCGAAAGATAGCCAAATTAAGTTTGGTGACTTATACTTGGGCTTTCAATAGACAAGTTTTGAGTCCCACTATTACTTTAGAAATGTTTACACTCTGGCGTAAAATTTGTCTAATTCGGTCTGCGTGGGAGTTGATTTTACCATGTAAACACTTGATGGCTCATCAGAATGCTGGAAACCAGTGTACAAATTTTGGCTGGTTCCCGCCTCAAGTGTCATGGCATAGCCACAAAAGACCAGTAACTAGTAATGAATCCGACATTCCGATTGGTCCATCATTTTCTTGTTGCTTGTTCTATTTCCCTTGGTTACCTGACGTCAGCGCTTACGCTTGTGGCCCTAAAGCAGGGTTTTTTTTTACTCTCAAAAGTTGCGCTGTTTCTTTTGTTATAAATTTGCAACGAAACAGCGAGAAATGCCAGAAACATCACAAATATGTAAGTCTAAGCAGGCAGAATGTATGGGCATGGTGTAATGAAGACTTGTTTAAAGAAAACGAATATTAGAATGTTTTCAAATTATGTCACTCGGCCATGTGACTTCCGTCCGGAATTCCAGCCCAGTGGAACAATGTGGCGATTACTAGTTACCTGCGTCGTACTTGCCATTCGCAAAGGACCCCGGGAACCAGTGAACATACAAATTCAGGAAGCTGGAAATCACTCCCTCCCTCAATTTTTGATAGGGTGGGCTCAACTCAACTCTTACAGATAATACTCATTGCAAAGGCACATTAAACATTACTACCGTACCTCCAAACTGCCCAAATGCCAAATGAGTACCCTTTTTTATAAAACAAAGTTGTTGTGTGAATACTGTTGCCAGTGTTGAACACCAGAAGGCGCAACTCGCTTTAAATATAATGTTCATGTACTAACACTGCATTGTGGGTAAAATATAAGCCAATCAGTTACCTTCATAAATGAGTAACGCAGCTAATGCACCATTGATGAGTTTCTCTTTGTTTTCAGCAAAGAAACCCTGAAATAAAGCAAACCAATATTTAATTATGAATAAGATCTAATGTGTACTCTGAAGAATAGAATACATCAACATCAGTGATGTTAGGGACGACGTCAAAAGATCGATGTCGGATAAAAAACCTATTTGCTTTAGTTTGGGGGTGGAGAGTTTTGACCTCAAAAAGTTTCCATCCTACAAAAAATTATTTTATTTTTTAATGAAGTCAAAAAAACCTTGGAGTATTTGTAGTTCGTTTTTTTCTATCCACTCATAGACAAAAATAACAGAAAATGAAAAAAAACAAGACGAGAAAATGGTTTGGTCTGAGTGAAAATATGTGCGTCAAAGAGGTCAATTTCAGGGCATGGACCTAGAGCATGCGCAGAACCCAGAAAGTAGTTTGCGCAAGCGTATATTCCGCTTCATTATTACAACCAACTGCTATACCATACTACTGTCCGATTATCAATTTATATTTAATGGTGAATGTAGTCTGACGCCATGATCAATATTTATCAATTAAGTTTCAGTGGGGGGGGGGGGAACTAAAAGAATTAAGTTTTTTATCCAACATCGATCTTTTGACGTCGTCCCTTAGTCCATTTCTAAATGGATAAGGAAATTAAAAAGATTCATCTCAGACCACCTACCGAAATATACCAAAATTCAACTGAAATGTGGTGAGCATTGGTGAGATATTGGTGGAACAAACAAACAAACAGAGCAAAGATAAACTCAAAAACTCTTGCCAAGCTACCGATAAATATTTATCATATTCCAAACTGACAATAAAATGGCAGAAATCACGTACATCAAATGTCAACACTGAGAAATTCATTCATAATAATTTTCATATTTTCACAAAAGCTCCCTCTAGTGACCAATGTTTTTACTTACATCCTGTGTCACTGCATGCAGAAGACCACTATATGATATGTTGTTATTAAACATAAATACAGCTTCCGCAAAATTGTTATCTGAAAATGAAGAAAAAAACTTGAGAAAGCACTCATCTATCTATACAATCTATCTAAATTAATGTTTAATAGATGTAAAGAACTGATTGACTACCGATATGGTCATTTAATATCTACAGGTGAGAATAGACAAGTACAATGTAGACTAATTTTATACTTACTAGGGTGTGAGGTTGTACTAACTACTAGGGGGTCCAGCTAAAAATATTATGCTTACTAGAAGTATAGCTAAAAATATTACACATACTAGAGGGTCCAGTTAAAAATCTTATATTTACTAGGGGGTCCAGCTAAAAATATTATGCTCACTAGGAAATACAGCTCAGTATTACACATACTAGAGAATCCAGCTAAAAATCTTATACCTACTAGGGAGTACAGCTACAAATCTTATATTTACTAGGGAGTACATATAAAATTATGCTTACTAGGAAGTGCAGCTGATAATCATATACTTTAATACTAGAGGGTACAAGCTAACAATTGTATACTTACTAGGGGGTACAGCTAAAAATTGTATACTTACTAGGGGGTACAGCTAAAAATTGTATACTTACTAGGGGGTACAGCTAAAAATTGTATACTTACTAGGGGGTACAGCTAAAAATTGTATACTTACTAGGGGGTACAGCTAAAAATTGTATACTTACTAGGGGGTACAGCTAAAAATTGTATACTTAACTAGGAGGTACAGCTAAAAATTGTATACTTACTAGCGAGAACAGCGAAAAATTGTATACTTACTAGGGGGTACAGCTAAAAATTGTATACTTACTAGGGGGTACAGCTAAAAATTGTATACTTACTAGCGAGAACAGCGAAAAATTGTATACTTACTAGGGGTACAGCCAAAAATTGTATACTTACTAGAGGGTACAGCTAAAAATTGTATACTTACTAGGGAGTACAGCTAAAAATTGTATACTTACTAGGGGGTACAGCTAAAATTGTATACTTACTAGCGAGAACAGCGAAAAATTGTATACTTACTAGGGGTACAGCTAAAAATTGTATACTTACTAGGGGGTACAGCTAAAAATTGTATACTTACTAGGGGGTACAGCTAAAATTGTATACTTACTAGGGGGTACAGCTAAAAATTGTATACTTACTAGGGGTACAGCTAAACATTGTATACTTACTAGCGAGAACAGCGAAAAATTGTATACTTACTAGGGGTACAGCTAAAAATTGTATACTTACTAGGGGGTACAGCTAAAAATTGTATACTTACTAGGGGGTACAGCTAAAAATTGTATACTTACTAGGGGGTACAGCTAAAATTGTATACTTACTAGGGGTACAGCTAAAATTGTATACTTACTAGGGGGTACAGCTAAAATTGTATAC